CAACAGCCAGAACATCCTTCCTCAAAGAAAGAGTCCAAAACTGCACACACTACTCCAGGTGTGGTCTCACCAAGACCCTGTACAGTTGCAGGAAGACATCCCTGCTCCTGTATTTCAATCCTCTAGCTATGAAGGCCAATATACCATTTAGCTTCTTCACTGCCTGCTGCACCTGTGATTGGTGTATAAGGACACCCAGGTCATGTTGTGCCTCTCCCTTTTCCAATCTGTCACCATTCAGCTAATAATCCGCCTTCTTGTTTTTGCTACCGAAGTGCATAATCTCACATTATACTTCATCTGCAATACATTTACCCACTGACTCAACTTGTGCAAATCACACACTGAAACCCCCTCTATATGGAACCTTTTCTCAATTTTCTGGTGGCCTCCTCTTTATCTCTGTTCTAATTCTCAACTGTTTTGCTTTTTTTGCCCCTTTCTCTATTTTTAATATAGTGTGTTACTTTGTCAAGTTTTCTGTCACATCTACCACACAACAGACTTGTGCGAAAAAAAAATGATAGTCATGGAATTAAAAGTAGAAAATGTATGCAAAATTGGCTGAGGGCTAGTAAACAGAAAGCAATGGCTAATGGTTACTTTTAGGTTGAAAGAAGGTTTGTAGTGGTTTTCCCAGGGGTTGGTATTAGTACTTTGCTTTTTCTGCTACATGTATTTATATATAAATTATCTATAAATTTCAGGGAATAATTTTAAATTTGCAGACGACATTGAGCTTTGGAGAATTGTACACTGGGAGGAGAACTATGTTGAAATTTAGAAAGAATTGACAAGTTGGTACAGTAGACAGATGAAAATTGAAGGTCAATGTGGAAAAATATTATGATACGCTTTGATACAAAGGACATGAAGAGACCATATAGAATAAAATGTACTATTCTAAATGGTGTGCAAAAGCACCAAGACCTGGTTGTATGTACATTGAAGATGTAAAAGTGGGTGGAGAGAGCTGTTAGTGAAACATGCAGTATTCTAGTATAACAGTAAGTATAAAATACAGGAGCAGAGAGATACTGACTCTATATGGGACAGTTGTTAGACCTCATCTGGAGTAATGCATATAGTTCTGGGCACCAAGCTTTGAGAAGAATGTCAATGCATTCACGAGAGTATAGAAGATATTTACAGGAATGTTTCCAGAGTTCAGAAATGTCAGTTATGAGGATGGATTGGAGGTGTTGGGACCGTTTTCCTTGGAGAGGAGAAGGCTGAAGGTAGATTTCATAGAAGTTTTCAAAATTATGAGAGGTTGAACACTGTAAATAGAGAGAAACTGTTTCCCCATGTGAGAGGATTGACAACCAGAGGGGACAGTTATAAAGTTTGTAATAAAAAAGCAACTATCAGGTGAAAAATACATTTTTTTCACAGAGCAAGTGGTTCAAGTCTGGAGTGCACTGCCTGGAAGTGTGGTGGAGAGAGATTCGATCGAGGCATTCAAGAGGCTATGCAAACAGTGTGCAGAGCAATGGGGAAATGTCAGGAATTTGACCGAAAGTCAAGGTACTTAGAGAACCTGAGCAGACATGCATATACATTTATAGTACAGAGGAGATCATTCGGCCCATTGTGTCCATTGCCAAACAACAAAGATCTGACTGTATTAGTCCTGTTTTGCAGCTGTTGGCCTGCAGCCCTGGAGGCTATCGTACACAACTGAATGACTAAATACTGATTAAATGTTGCGAGTGTTTCTGACTTGACCATTTTTTCAGGCAGTGAGCTCCAGACTTTCGTCACCCTCAGGAAAAAGTCGGCTCCGAACTCTCCTCTTACCTCCTAACTTAAATCAATAGTCTCTGGTTGTTGAGCCCCTCCGCTAATCGAACATGTGCCTTCCTATCCACCCTAACTTTATCCCTCATAATCTTCTGCACCTATGCCAGATCTTGTATTCTATATCTCAGCTAATAAAGGCAATTATCCCATCTGCCTTTGATAGGCCAAATGATCTCCTTATGCAATGTAATAATTCTGTAATCCTAACTCTCTTCTAGGTGGGTGAAGTAATGGATACATGGGACTAAATGCTCAAAACTTTTGGATGTTCAAAGATGTGCAGGTTAGGTGAATTATCCATGCTCAATTACCCCATGGTGTCCATGGATGTGGAATTTCTGAAGGATATTGTCCAAAATCTGGTGAAGACCACACTGCAAACATTTGAGTGTAAGTAACAAATATGACCATGAGACCACTGCAACAGCAGAGAGGGTGAAATAAAGGTGGATAAGAAGTAAAGCTCAGTATCCTGGTGATTGAAGGGTGTAAGGTTTAACCTTCAGATCGAGATCAAACTAGACCCCAAGGTGGTCATTGTTTTCCATCTGAGTTAATAACTGAGAAGTGCGGAATGGTCTGAGATTTAAAACCAACATCAAAGTTGTGAGTTTGGCAGGAACAGAACTGTATGTCTTTAATTGTATTAGTGTTGGGTTGGAGAAAATTGTGGCCCATCCATGACTTCATAGTCATATAACACAGTGGTGACTGTCAGTTCAAAACTGATGAACGAGTGGTAAAGCAGGGAGTTATTAGTTATGTAAATACTGAAGTGACATCCAAAGACTATGTCACTGACAGATAACATATAGGCCAGCAGGAGCCAATGATAGAAGATTATAGTATTTGTAAGATGACTTTGTTGGATAGTGATGTGAGAGTGGGAAAAGAAGACACATGGCAACATATTCTGACAATGTTGCCATAGAAACAAGTAAATGCAGGACATTTTTAATTATTTATGCCAATCCCTTGATCACCCACTCTGAATATTTGGAACGTTGGGATGTTCCAAACTCTGGGCTTGCCTGGGTGACCTGGCAAGCGCTAAATGGTAAATGACACAATCATTATGTTGTTGCCAGTGCTTATGCAGTAGAATACATTCTTACCAAAGTTATTTGTTGCCTTCCACTAAGCAGAGATATTCACTATCTATTTACTTCCTTCTTTTCAAGAGCTAAAAACAACATTGGTCTGACTACATCAATGGTTGTAGAATTATGTACCACTTGACAGAACAGAGAAGATGATCAAGGATCAGAGAAGATTTACAAGGATGTTGCCAGAGTTGGAGGGTTTGATCCAAAGGGAGAGACTGAATAGGCTGGGGTTATTTTCTCTGGAGCATCGGAGGCTGAGGGGTGACCTTATAGATATTTATAAAATCATGAGGGGTATGGATAGCGTGAATGGTCAAGGTCTTTTCCAAAGGGTGCGGGAGTCCAAAACTAGAGGGCATAGGGTTAAGGTTAGGGGGGAAAGATTTAAAAGGGACCTAAAAGGCAACTTTTTCACGCAGAGGGTGGTATGTGTGTATGGAATGACCTGCCAAAGGTTGTGGTGGAGGCTGGTATAATTACAACATTTAAAAGGCATCTGGATGGGTATATGAATAGGAAATGTTTGGAGGGTTATGGGCCAAATGCTAGCAAATGGGACTAGATTAATGTAGGATATCTAGTCAGCATGGATGAGTTGGACCGAAGGGTGTGTTTCTTTGCTGTACATCTCTATGACTCTATATCTGGATGCCTGATTTTCAGGAACAGAAATTACTCATCGAGAAATTGCTTGCTGTGACAGCGTTCAATGATATGATAAACTGGCTGGATCCATTCATTCAAATATTGGAATAACCAGAATGCAAACAACTTTTAAATGAAATTTTTATCCATCCTATCCAGAAATGACTGAATTCTTCCAAGGATTCCAGTGCTTTGATACTTTCAATTTGTTTTTATGAGCTTACCTGCGCATGTAGATATAGACATCTTCCATTCAATCTGTGCAAAGATGTTATTACACACTTCTGGAAAAGGTGAGACTTGAACCTGGCCAGTTCCGAGGAAGGGTCACCGGACCCGAAATGTTAACTCTGATTTTTTTTTTCACTGAAGCTGCCAGACGTGCTGAGCTTTTCTAGCAACTTCTGTTTTAATTGTTGAACCTGGGCCTCCTGGCTCAGAGCTAGGGACAACACGTGCGAATATACCATTTTGGTTCATTATCCGATTAACCTGGTAAGTCCATGGGCTACTTAATATCATTCTGTTATGCTTATTGCTGCATAATATTTCATATTTATTTCAAAACGATTTCCAATGTACTTAATAAAACATTTAAATGGCAATGCATAAAAATCACTTGGAACTACACTTTGTTGCTGCTTTAAAGCTTTATCATATACAACGTCAGAAGCTCTGAAATACGCTCCTCAAAACTTCTCCGTTAATATGCTGCTTAAAACCTATTTGACCTAAACTTTTGGCCACCTGGCCTGACATCTCGTTATGTTATCTCCTTGCTGGTTGGCAATTTTATTTGAGAATAAATGCAAGATTGACTCGAATTGAAAAATAAGATCCGCAAGACTTTAAAGAGTTTTGGTGACATCAAATGCCTACGTCAGGTTTTGCATGAGTGTGTTTTGCTTGTTCCTGTCCAAAAACGACTGTACTGATTTCAAGGTGTTGTCACTACAGGCCTCATTGGGAAGGGGAAAGGAAAGGAATGAAGTGTCCTGAAGCTCCAGTTGAAGTGACCTGATGGAGGCGCTGATTGAATGAGGGGGAGTGTGGCTCCCACGTCAAGAGAGTTGCCCAGCCTGGATCATTGCGTCAGTCAGGGCAGCCCATGTGATGGTCATGAATTGTGTTTAGAGACAGGATCGAATTCATCTACCGTAATATATCAAAGGTTAACTGTGCATCTGCGAAGCGCTCGAGTAAAACCTTTGAGGAAATGCGGATATATTTAGTAATACTTCATGACCATGACATGTTTTCCTAGAATCATTACTATTCCTAAACCTGAGCTGATCAATTTTGGTCGAACTGTGAATTGCTGAATCTAGACTCGCCTTTCATGTGGTGGGGCGCACAGTCAGGGTTTGTTTCGTTTTGAGAGAGAGAGAGAGAGCGGACCGACTGAAGGCGGTCTCGACAATCTGCTTCCACAGGCGGTAGGTTTACGGGCGGTGCCAGATTGCGTCAATGTGGCAGGGAGAGCTTCTGTCTGTGTGCTTGCTGCAGGTGAAGCCAGTGAACTGCTCTCTGCCTCTCTCCTGCAGCTAGGGCGACTCACACTCACTGCGTGATGTTGCAATCTCCCAGACTGTTATATTCAGCTACATTGTGACCCAGCCTGCATTCCACCGAGACACAGCACACATACACACTCTCTTTCTCTACCAGTTATTGCAACTTTGTTTCTGCCAAACAGGGCTAACTTGTCCCTTTAAGCTTCGACTACATCCCATTCTCACCCCAGGGGGACTACGGCTAAAGTTTGCAATACACCAGTTCGCCTGGACCGTATCGGTGCGTCCGTGAGCACCTCTGCTGAGCCGAGCTGGGATCTTCTGCAGGACTCGACGCCTTGTTTCTGGAGTCTGGGGGAACTCAGTGAGGGAAGGGCAGGGGTAGGGAATAGAACCCCAATTTCATCCCACAGCCGCCACATAGCCCGGAGGTTGGTGGAGACGGATGTCTGAGACTTGTGCGAGCTGATTCTCTGGTCGTCTGTTCGAATGAGGAATGTAAAGACTAGTTAACGCTCTGATATTGGCGTCTTCACCAGCTCCAGACGAAGAAAAAACTTTTTGGTTCCCCCTCGCCTTGCTGTTTGGAATCTCCTGATTCTTCACCCCCCCCTTGATCTCTCTTGCTCCTCAGACCGAGCAGTTTTATTTTTTTAATGAATTTAAACGTGCAGAGGGTGAGTCCCATTCCGATCCTCCGCAGCGGCCGATGGAGGCAGAAGCGGCTAGAGACCGACGAGCCGGCTGCCAAGTGCCCGCGGCTCAGTGACCCACCCCCGGACAGCAGCTACCTCCCCTCCCCATGCTCCCCGAACCCCACCGAGAGCTGCCCGTGCCTTTCTCAGGCCTCGGCTCGGATCGGCAACTACATCCTGCTGCAAAACCTGGAAAAGGACAATGTCTTCAGGGCCATCGACAGCCACACCGGAGAGGAATTCGTGTGCAAGGTGCGGAAAAGGCAGTTGTGTCGGTGCGAATTATATTGGCGAAGCGGGATGGGCGCTGCATTTTATTTTGTGTTGATAATTCTGTACGCGGCGCATGCATGCATTTTTCACAACCTCGGAGGGAAATTTGTCGAGATGTGGCTCCGACGACTGTGTTGAGAGAGAGCTGGGAGTTTGTGCAACTTGAGGTTTTTGATCCCCCCCGCCCCCCAGTATAGTTGGGATTGCACCGTCAGTTCGGTGCTGCCACCGTGTGTGGTCAACAAAGTTGCAACCGCTTACTTTTCTCAAGATAAATCGGGAGGTAGTCTTTCCACCCACCCCCAAAATATCAATCCTGAATAGATAGGCGAAAGTCACTTTTATATCTTTGCAGTATGTTGAGTTTAGACTGTCAGATGTCACTGTGCTTTAAAAAAAACTCTACAAATATTATTAAAGTGCCGGAGAAACTCAGCTGTTCTGGCAATAAATGCCTCGAATCCAGCCCTTTATCGGAGATTTTCTTTGCTTTTATTAAACTTTTAGTGCTGCTTTTGAGCGAGTTTGGTTTTAGCCTGCAATATTCCATTTATACACTTTGCCCGATACCGCTATTAAAACGGGGGCTAACTTGTTGAGAGGTTGATTTTTGTGTGTGTCCCCGGCAGGTTTTTGACATTCAGCGCTACAGAGATGAAATCGGACCGTATCTGCATATCCCAGCCCACGAAAACATCACGGCGATCGAGGAGATTCTCCTAGGGGAGCGGAGTTGCTATGTGTTTCTGCAGAAGGGTTATGGCGACATGCACCTGTACATGAGGAGCTGCAAACGGCTGGGCGAGGAGGAGGCAGCCCGGCTCTTTCAGCAGATTGTCTCCTCAGTGGCACATTGCCACGATTCGGGTATAGTCCTTCGAGACCTTAAACTCAGGAAATTCGTCTTCGCTGATGAACAGAGGTGGGTTTAGAGAGAAGGCATTCCTTAAAAGTACCTCCAGTGTGTTGCCCTTTGAAGGAACCCTACATCAAATTGGCGAATCTCTCGCTAGATTAATGCCCAATAAATTCTGAATTTAAACTAAAGCTGCAGTGAATCACTGGGGTTCGTGAGTGCATTCTTTGAATGGACCATGCTGTGTTCTGTCATGTCATCTCTACACGTTCAATGGGACAGCTTTGTCCTGTTTCCCGTTTAAACTAAAATCAGTGCTGCATTGATAATTTCTTGTGAACATACTTGACTTGACCGAGAAACCCATTGACATGGTTCCGCAGCTGCTTATTCATACCAATTCCAAAGAAGGTTCAGTGTTTCATAAAAGTCACATTAAAAGATGATAATTTAATATGCGCGTGACATCTTTGCTTTAATTCTGTTTATTCAGTGTAAAGGTCGGATTCCGGATTGGTAATTTTTGCATTGGCAATTTAATTCAATTGAACTTGTCAACATATTTTGAAAATGCATTGCTACCCGTTTTGGGGGAATGATAAATCATTTAAAATAGTGCAACTTCATTTCCGAATTCAATGCAAAATATGGTTGGGAAGGTAGTTTATACATAACTAAGACTATAATCTCTTAAAATGCAGAACCACCACCGTGTTACCTTGCAATAATTTGAAGATCCTGTAATTTAAATGATGTCAACTTTTATAGAATGAAAAATGATATTGTTCATGGTATAGAAGTGTTGGGGGAGAATCTGAGTGGATTAATGCGCGTTTCAAAACGATTGTTTATTACAGGTGAATAAAACATATATTGCACAAGGTTATCAAACATTTATAAAGTGGAATTGGGCAAGTGCAGGTTTACTGAAATGTCATTATCTGCAATCTTTTAAATAAGTAAATTATTAATAGAAATATTAAACCTTCAAAATTGCAGCAGACATCTGAAATGAACGGTTCCCTATTTTGAGCAATCGCTCTGATTGTTGGATCCACGTCAGTACAGTTTTTGTTTGCACCTGAGATCTCTCTGCCGACTCCTTGACCGTTTTTAGAACCAATCCAAGCTGCAAATACATCTTTGCTGCCAAAGATTAACCCCAATATTAAACGGTAGTGAAGGGTGTCAGTCCAACCCAGTGATTTAACCTGAGATTGGGAGAGACGAGCTGCTAAAGTAACTTCCCGAAATGTAATTCTGCTTTTTTACCTCTTGTAAGGTTATGGCGTGACTCACCAGCACATGAAGTCACTGAGGCAAACAGCATGGGTAAAATAAACTGAAGGGCTTGAGAGGAACGCAAGACTTTGCTGATAAAGAGTGTGTGTTTGGGGGGTGGAGGGCGCGGTTTGTGGAGAGCTAACACTGACCCTGATCCTGATCCTATGCTGCAAATTTCCGCGTTATTTAAAAATCTAAGACTGTCTGTAACGGGAGGCAGGAAGTCATATCTTTTAATATTATACCTTGGCTGGAACGGTGCGTGATGGCAGTGAATCTGCAGTTCTGCTTGTCTCTGCTAATGTTTGCAGCTGGCTTTGAAACGACCCTTTTTGTTCATCATGTGCTGCAGATTTGGCAACACGGGGGCGGTTTTGCAATTGAAGGGACTGTGTGTCAAAGCAGGTGTTGATTGATTCCGTGTCGTAAGGGACTATAATACACACACAGCAGGCTGCATGAGTCATGTTTTCCATTTACAAAACAGGAGAGCTGCAGGGTTCTGCCCTTTTCACGACAGACGGGTTCAGATATAGGACATGAATACCACTGCTATCGTTTTGCTCCCTTCAAGGGGCAGCCCGTAAATAATAAAGGGGTTGGTGGGGGGTGGGTCATGTTCGCTGTATACAAATAATTGTCTCCAAATTAACCAATTTCATTGGGAATAGTTGCAGTGATATGAAACGACGCTTCTAAGCGCTTCAAACTTTTGAAACAAAACTTGTGAAGAAGGGTCAGCTTTCCTGCCCCTCTGTTGCTGCCTGGCCTGCCGTGTTCCTCCAGCTCCACACAATTTGTTATCTCATAAAACAAAATGGTATTTGCATTTGGGACATCACCACCAGTTTTGAACAAGATAGGTGTGAACTGCTTTTTCAGTTTCTGCCGCACATTAAAACCGAATATAAATCTGAATGGCAATGATTGGAGCTGGTTTGCACTCCCCTCGCCCATAATAAGTTAGGGTTCAGATTTCTGTTTAAAGAATATTTAGGGTATTAATTAAAATTTGAGTGAGCAAGCACTTGTGCATGGGTTGTGTGTGTTGGGCGGGGCCACTGTTGAGTTGCAAGTTCTCTCCTGAGAGTGCCGCCCTCTCCTCCCCTCTCCTCCCCTCCCCTCCCCTCCCCTCCCCTCCTGTTGTCTCCCCACCTCCTAGCGGCAGCGCCTGATGAACTGTGTCTCCTTTCCCACAGGACGATGCTGAGGCTCTCCAGCCTGGAGGATGCTCACATCCTGAGAGGAATGGACGATTCCCTGTCCGATAAGCACGGATGTCCGGCCTACGTGAGCCCGGAGATACTGAACACCAGCGGCTGTTACTCGGGCAAGGCAGCCGATGTGTGGAGCCTGGGCGTCATGCTGTACACGCTGCTGGTGGGGCGCTATCCTTTCCACGACTCGGACCCCGGCGCCCTTTTCAGCAAGATCCGCCGCGGTCACTTCTGCATCCCGGACAGCGTCTCGCCTAAGGCCAAGTGCTTGATCCGGAGCTTGCTGAGGCGGGAGCCCCCGGAGAGACTGGCCGCTTCGGATATCTTACTGCACCCCTGGTTCCGAGCCGCCGCCACCGTCTCCTCCTCCTCCCCCCAGCAGCTCCAGCCCGAGCAGGACGGTCAGAACTCCGACCAGACCGTCCCCCAGTTAGAGACCGACAAACAGCAAGGCAGCCCCTTCCTCTGCTGACCGACCCCGAAAAGGCTCAGAAAACTTCTTGTTTTTCACCCAGCCGTCCGAGGAAAAGGACAGAGCGCCCATTTCCCCAAGTCTCTCCTCTCTCCAGAAGGATCTCTCCCAGACCAATTTTGACCGGTCTGAAACGGGCATTTAAATCCTTCCGTTTGGTAGAAGTTTGTTTTTTTTGCCACAATATAAGACGCTCACCTTGACCCTGTGTCTCCCCCCCCCCCCCCCCCCCCAGTTTAAGACCAGTCGGGATGACACAGCCTAAAAAACCTCAGTCTTGTCTTCTGGAATTTTGTTTAAAGTTCGCCACATCATCCCTGAACTATTTATTGATTTGAAGATTTATTTAAAAGGAAGCAAGTGCAGTCACTTTAACTTATTACATTTCTGTAAGATTGAAATTGTTATGAATTTTGTTAATTTCTATATAATTGGTATTTTTAAAAAAACACAACTTTCCTCCTGTATTCAGGTTCTTTGCAGATATGAGTAGGTTCCTCTTGGCCTTTGGGCCTCTGTATGTGGCCTACAGCCCTAGGCCATCCGTTACCAGTGAAGGAGCTCAGTTACTGAATAGTAGCAGTTCTGAAATCTATGGAGTAGTTAAGAAGCATCAAACCACCAGTGATGACCAGCAGCCCTCACCATTCAGCCCTGTTGCTGCCTGGTAGTGTGACCCAAAGTACATTGTTTGAGCAATGTCAATAACATAACTTGGCAATGTGCAGGGATACCATGTCTCTGGAGGATGCTTTCTAGCTATGCACGATACAGCAACCATCACTATATTGTGTAAACCTATTTAATAAATGGCAGGGAGTCAGTTCAAGGCAGCTACACAAATAGCTAGGGGTCAGATGACATGGATACAGCATTTGAGCTGTGCCATTTGGCTTTCTGATGTTGTCTGGTCCCATTAATTATACTGTCTTGGTTAACTATCCCATAATGCATACATGATCATTATAACACAATAAAAGATTGCATTATTTTTCAGTGAAGCACTCTTTTTTTATCAGCATTAAATGTCAGAATCTTGTAAACTTCCTTCTTGACGAATAACTCGTACAGCTAATCCTATTTCTGAAGATGACAAAAAAAATTGGGAATAATTGGCAACTGGTAAACCTCAGGTGGTAATATTTACCAATGGAAAAGTAAAGGATAGCTTGGATGCATTAAAAAAAAGTAAACATTGTTTAGGGCATGTGTTTGAGGGTGTAATGTACTCTCAGACTTTCAATTCTTAACCCAGTGTGGTAAAGCCTCCCAATTTATCAGTGATTAGCTGTGTATTAGTGACATTCTACTAGAATATGGTGGCTTACAAGAGTCAGGTTTTAAACCCTGATCTTTCGTAACCTTTTTCTGATCTACAAACCACTCAAATAGTTCTTTCAGGCTTGGAGATGCATTATAGTCAGTGCCACTGCTCTTGAATTGTTGTCAGCCTTTACAAAAGGGGTAAATAATCATTCATTTAACAGGGAATATATTTTAATTTTGTGATTTTTTTTTAAAGTACAAGCATCACACAAATGAGGCTAATATTTGTGAAAACAGCCAAAATATTGCCTTGTTCAATGCCTCTTTGGATGTTGCTTACCATTTCAAAATGTGATGCGGATGCTGTGAGCCCCTGTACAGTTGATGTTACCACAAATGACTTCCCTGATATTGCCACTTCCCCACAGGAACTTTTAAAGTAGGACTTTTTAAATGCAAGCCTATTAAAAGGCACATTTGTCAATTCAGTAAGGAGACACATGTTTAAAAAGTGCAGGTTAAAAAGCACTGGTGTTATGCACTCATTACCCGTGATCACTTTAAAACATTGTCAAGCTGTAATGATATCTTGACTGTATTTTCACGGTTGTGAAGCATCACAAAGGCATCCAAGTTATGCCTGAATGTTACACACTTGATCCTCAGTTAAAAGGTGACCATTGTTATTTTTGCTATGTCCTTCTTTTTGTGTTTTAGAGTAATTATGAAGATGTTATTTTCTAAATGTACATCCGTTAAAGAGCTCATTAATTAGTTTTTCAGCTTTTCAAATGAGGTCACCAACTGTAGGGGTGAAGCCAAAGGTAACAGCAGGGAGATTATGCTTGAGTTGGATGTTGCATTTTTCATTAACTACTGTGTATGTTCTGTTAATACCTCATGTGAAGTGGACAGGTAATCTGTGTCTTGTCTTGCATTTTTTTCAGAAAATATTGTATTGTTGTTGTGTTAAAGATCAGTGTAAATGTGAATTATTACAAGCAATATTAGAAGAAAATCATGAGGTTTAAGGTTTAAGGGACAGTGACATTTTTCTGTTGCACTGATGCTCTCATGGTTGTTAAGCTTATAGTATCTATGATACAATGATAAAAAGATAAAACTACTGGGAAATGCAAACCCAAACTGGCAGCAATGCCCTGTTGAAGAATATGAAACACTATTTTAGAAATGTAAATAAGTGAAAATGTACAGATGTAAATGATCTTATAGCAATAAAGACAAAAATATCAGAACAAATAACAGTTTCTGCTGTTTGTTCCATTAATCAAAGTGCAGTAAGAGTTTGAAGAATTAAAGTTCTCTTTTACAGCCGAATTGTTTTGGAAGACTGTCAATGACAACAACATGGTCCAATTCAATGATAGGCAGGAGTTGACTTATCGAGAATTTATACATGCATTATGCCTGCTAAGGTGGTCCACTTCATGCTTAGCACAGGATGCAATGATGAAGTCGCACAGGTTTGATGCATCCTTGCTGTAGTAATGATACCGGATTTTGCATTCAGAAAAATGTGCAGGAGATGGAGGAACCCAGTATATGAGCTCTGTGTTCGATCTACTGTGTGCACTTGGCTCTTGAGTGAATATACTCATGATTAATATCTTGGTTTCACCTGATGACTAAGCTGTTAAAGGAGGAAGCAGACCTGCCTGTTTTGCAGAACAGGAATTACAAAAGGGAGGCCAGAGGCATTCATAATATGCTGGCAGACAAGGTGACATCTCTAGTGTGGCAGCAGGGACATTGCGGTTAGCTCAGTTCGGAATCCGATCCAAAATCTCTTTGTGTATCTACCTAGTATAGTTCTTCATATTTATGCTGGCAAGAAAGAAGTGAAGCAAATAATGCCAAGGTGCTGAAGGTATTGTGGGTGCACAGGAAACCTGTTGCTCCATTTTATTTCACAGTAATTTCTGTGCTGCTGATTGCATTGACACCTTCCTTGAGGATGGTCCATGGACGTAGAAACATAGAATAACAGAGCAGGAGGAGGCCATTCGGCCCTTTGAGCCTGCTCTGCCATTCTTCACAATCATGGCTGATCGTCCAACTCAATAGCCTAGTCCTGCTCTCTCCCCATAACCTTTGATCGCATTCGCCCCAAGTGCTATATCTAAGCACTGATCATTCTTAAGTTTCTTATGAAAGATACCAGTATTACTTCAGGAGCTCAGACTGTGCACTGGCAGACATTTTAATTACAGAGGAAACAACGTTTTAAACTCAATTCCATCCTCCCATCAATGACTATACTGTGGTCTTTCGACAACAATCAGGAGCATAAAATTTGACCCATTTTTCACTAATTGGTCAAGCTGGTCAATAATACAATCCTGGCTACAATCAGCTAACTCAGTATCGATCAAATATGGAACGGTTCTTATGGTGCCGTGGTAGTGTCCCTACCTTTGAGCCAGTGGGGTGAGGTTCATGTCCCACCTGCTCCAGAAGTGTGTCATAGCACACACAAACAGGTTGATTAGAAAATATCTAGAACAAATATGGACCTGCCTGGAACCAGGTGGCCCAGTTACTCACTGGTCAAACTCACCATGCAATTGGTAAAGCATATTGTCAAACATTTAACTCTTGATTGGTTTGATGACATTGGTGCTTACTGTATATACAGAGTCTTAAAGTTTATTTTTCAACTCATCAGCTCAAGGTAACAACCTCTCATGATTTAGGCAAAGGTGGAAAAGTTAGCTAAAATAAATTTGGGTCATAACAATACAGGCGAACACTTGATATCATGAGGGCAAATTTTGCCACTTGAGATTACTATTGCCAATACCAAAATTGCAGGCGGTCACACTTGACGGGTAATTGACCAATGCTCTAGTTGCTGGTCCGGAAGTGCTAGCTGCTGTGTCTGTTGAGCTGATCCAGTTATTGTGCGTGTATGATTATGACCACGTCCTGAGCGAGGTTCCCCAATTCTTTACAGTTCCAGATGGGATACTCCAAACTGTTAAGCTCCCAGGTGTGGAACTGGTACCTGTTCTTAATTTGCCTACCCTTGTGGTTGGTTTCAGTGAGGATATGTCTCTCCTAGACCCAAAATGAACTTTACTTTTTAAGGAGCCAATTTAACCAGACCTTCTTGAATGAACAAAGATTTAGTTTATTAGTTTCCGAATGTGAGAAGAATTAACGACTCAAAACACACACACACTTTAGAAATAAGGAGTGTCCAAAAGAATAAAAGTTTTAAAAATGAATCAGTCTCTGAATTGTTCATGGGGGATGGTTAGTTGAAAGTTGTCTGTTGCAGTGGAGAGTCTAATGATCTCCATGAGACCATTATCAATTGTTGGAAAAACCCATCTGGTTCACTTTTGTCCTTTAGGGAAGGAAACTGCCATCCTTTATCTGATCTGGCCTACAGCAAGGCGGTTGGCTCTTAACTGCCCTCTGGGCAATTACGGATGGACAATGAATGCTGGCCGAGCCAGTGATGCCTTCATCCCATGAATGAATAAAAAACAAGCTCTTTGTACTTCATAGTATCGTAATGCTTAAATGCTGGATTGTACACAGGAGAGTGTTCTGTCCCACAGGTCCATTTTAATAGACTGAAACTGGCTCTTTAACCCCTGTCTTTGTGTATTTTTCAAGGGGAAAAGTGCAAACTGTGTCTGCAGTTTGGGACATAATTGCAGGAAACTTGCTGTTGAGCAGGGTATTGTCAGTCCGTCATTATCTTTGTAGTCACAGGAGATCATAGATTCATTTTTGTTTCTTTTCTATTTGAACTTCCTTTGACACCTTACGTGTTAAGTTCAATCTAATTTACATTTTTTGGCTGTATCAGCACTGTTTTAAAAAACGCATTTTAGAATTACAAATTAAAACTGTCCCTGTACTTTGACATTCTGACCCAAGGTCATAGTATTGTAGATACACTTTCTTGTAAATACATGAGAAATATTCTCTTTATGAGTCAAATAACATACTTGGATCGCATTTTATCTGCTTTATAATTTTATTCCTTTTTATAAATGCGTCACGTAAGATTGTGTAGAATATAATGTCAGTCATATGACGGCTAAGTAATATTTTTGTGATCACACTATATTGCTCAATCATGCATTATTCTTCAGTCAAAACAATAGATCTGTTGTCAGAATTCTAGCCATTGGGAAGCTGCTTAGGGATAGGAAACATTCAAACAGTCCCCAACATCTCACTGCGCACTTGGGTAATTATGAGCACAAACTTCAATCTTGTTACTCATTGAGATGATGCCTTGGTGCATCAATGCAAGCAAGGTTTCCACTGTTAAACACATCTAAATCTCCCATTTTGAGTTGAATAAAGTCAACAGTGAAATATTGTTTTCAAAAGATTCGATTCATGTCAGTAGTTTGGGAGTGAAATCTGTGGGGATTTTATAATCATCTGAGAAAAGTAGGGAAGGTTTTCCAATAACAATAGAGATCAAGGCAGCAATAGTACCATCTAAACATTCAATTGATTTCTGTCAATGGTCTCTCCAACTTTGTAACTGTGTGGTATGTAGTATGTTCTCTACTCACAAAAAAATTCTCCACAAGCAACAGAAACATGGGGAAGGGAACATTGATCTGGGGTTTGCAGAAAGGTTCGGGTGTGCTTCTTGTTTAAGGGACTTATGATATGAGCACATTAGTAATTAGGAAAGGACACAGAGTAGTGTTACACAGAATCTGTGTGGCAATTGTGGTTTTGGGTTGAATCCAGACAAAATATCTGCCCTGTTATAACCTGATTATGTAATCTTTGCCCCCTATAACCTATTGCCTCAGGTGCAAAATTACATCTTTTACCAATTTCTATTGAAAGATGACAGTGAACAATATTTTTCAATGCTTGAGTTCAATGGGCAATAAAATAAAGACTCTTGAAGGACTGGATCATGCACTATCCTTTCACTTTTGTTAGTTGGGTCTGCTCAAACCAAGAAAGATGGAATGAACATTAAACAAAGCTGGGGACCCTTGATGTGAGACAGTCACTAATAAATTCCATAAATAATTCAGGAGAAGCCTCTTTACCCAAAGAGCTGTTAAAATGTGGAACTCCCTACCACATGGGGTAGTTGAGGTGAATGACGTAGATGCCTGTAAGGGGGAACCAGATTAACACGTAAAGGAGAATGAAATAGAAGGTTACGCTGATAGGCTTAGATAAAATGGATTGTGAGGAAGCTCCTGTGAAACATAAACACTGGCATGGGTCATTTGGACTGAGTAGCTTGTTTCTCACTGTAAATGCTATGTAGTTTTATTCCTGCTCTTTGCTTGAATCCTTTAAAATGAATTTGCACAGTTCCAACTTAGAATTTAATGGGCATGCGCGCAGAGCACAGAAATGTCTCATAATTCCATACAAGTTAATGTCTCGCTATCGAATGGTGGGTGTGGGAAATGGAATTGTCATGGAGGTGCATTCGGAGCTACAGCTTTTAGGCTGCTTCCTTGACCAGCATGACTCGTACATCACAGTTTGCTTTCAGTTCTCCAAAGACTAAAACTTTAACATTGTCAAATTCAACTTCAAATGTTTCAGATAATTGCTTATTGGTATAGAAGTACAGTATTGAAAGAGAGTAGAAAGGGCGTGGAATGCCCTGCCTGCAAAAATAGTAGATTCGCCCACTTTAAGGGCATTAAAATGGTCATTGGATAAACATATGGATGATAATGGAATAGCTTAGGTTAGATGGGCTTCAGATTGGTTTCACAGGTCGGCGCAACATCGAGGGCCGAAGGGCCTGTACTGCGCTGTAATGTTCTATGCTCTATGTTCTATGTTCTAAAAGGCACACTCTTGAAGCATTTTTCTTTTATGCATCAGGGCAGTTACAATTTCAAAGGTAACAATAATTTATATTCTATGAGAAAAGAGTGCTAATTGGTTGGCACACTGTGACTGGTTAAGGTTTTGCCACGGAGAATGCACACTGTTCCCACATGTGCTGATGCGATGCCAGCTGCGTAGGCCATAAGTCACAACAATTAGCAAATCCTATCAAACAGTATGTCCCTTGAGCCATGGACAATAAGCAGAGGACTGACCGACCAGTGCTTGCAAAATTCAGAACATAATGTAGAAGATTAACATGAATTATATAAGTAACCCTTTCTAATGTTATCAGTTGAGTTTGCAATGTGGCTCACTTACCAGCAAATATACACATAAAGGGATTGACATCTGTAACAATGCCCAGGCATTTCACCATTTTCAAATTA